AAAACCTAGGTCCTCAATGACATCACCGAGTCCCTGAATGAGCCTGGGACTGCCTACCAAGACTTCTCATGTGTGCCACCAGACATGTCTACACCTAAGGCCTCTGTTGAGTGTGTGTGGTCTGTGCCAGATACTTTCCTATCTATGGATCTACTTTAAGGTTGCTTCTCCATCCCCTTCTTTGCCCCAGGAGGCTTCTGGTTGTGTTTGACCAATAAGGAGCCAGAGCAAAAGCCTAGAAAGAAGGAGACGGTGACATTGCTGGCATTTATTACCTGGCTCTCTACCCACAAGGTCACTGTGGGCTGGCAGAAGGACCCGGCCCTCCCAAGGTAGCCTACTGTGCAAGATCCTCTCTTCTCTGGGTTGGAGTAACCTCTCCCTCCCCTCCCTCTGAGTGACAGGGTGGTAACGGTGCCAATGCTGTGAATGCTGGGCTCCCTTCCTGTCCTCCGGTCTCCCTGACTCTCCACCCTTGGTAGTTAATCCCTTTGTAACTAAACCCTCCTGAGTTATCCTGAGTGTTCTCCCACATTCAAGGTCTGGAAATTCAACCCCCCACTTAACGTGGGTGGTATTTAGAGGTGGGTCCTTTGGAAGCAGCTAGAACTAGGTGAGGTCATCAGGGTGGAGCTTCCTGGCAGTATTTGCCTCTCTATAAGAGGAGGAGAGACCTTAGCTCACCCCCCTGCTCTGCCTTGTCAGGTGGTGCTCTCCATCAAGAAGGCTCTCACCAGATGCTGGCACCTTGACTTTGGACTTGGCCTCCAAAACCCTGAGCTAAATAAACCTTTATTCTTTATAAATTACCCAGTCTGTGGTATTTAATTACAGCCACAGAAAATGAACTGAGACGGTATGCTGCCTACATCCGGTTGAGATGTTGACGTTCACACTGGTCTTAATGGATATGGTCATTAGAATCAAGCTAACTTGAGTCCAGTCTTAGTCCCAGTAGAGCCTGGCTGGAGCTCCGTCATAGCTGGCCCTCTGGACTCCACTGGTCCCTCTGATGGATGGTCACAGGTTTGGGGGATGGAGCACTTCCTTTGGAGCTAGACAAACTTGGTCATGAATCCCATCCTTACTGGATTTTAGTTGTGAGTCATTTTGTCTCTGGATCCCATATTTATTATTAGTGAAATAGTCGTAAAATACATGTGTCACAGAATTGCTGTATGTTTTGGAGATACTACTTATAAAAAGCCTATCTAACCAGGTGGTGCATGCCTGTAATCCCAGCAGCTCAGGAGGCTGAAGCAGGAGAATCACAAGTTCAAAGCCAGCCTCAGCAAAAGCGAGGGGCTAAGCAACTCAGGGAGACCCTGTCTCTAAATAAAATACAAAATAGGGCTGGGGAGGAGGCTCAGTGGTCGAGTGCCCCTGAAATCCATGCCCCATACCCTCCCCTCCAAAATAAAAGAAGCTTATTTAGAGGGAAAAATGAATTTTTTCCATGTATCAGTACATATATTTCAATACATCAAAGGAAAGACCCATAGGACATACTGGGAAGCTTAAATTAAAAATGTCTAGCATTCAGTCAAAAATTTCTAGGCATGCCCTGAGACAGGAATAGATGAATTAAGTCATGAGGAAAAAAGCAGACAATAGAAACAGCCCACAAGCAATCCAGAGTTTAAGGACATTAAAATAGCTATGGTTAATATGTTCAAGAAACCAGAAAAAAAGTGAAAACATTTAAAAAGATTTCATCAGAGAATTAAAGTCTATAAAAAGAGTCAAATGGAAATTGTAGAACCGAACCACAAAATAACTGAAATTAAGAATTCAATATATGGGTTCAATCCAGGATCAGACCCCACGGAAAAGAGGATTGTGACAGGTCACTAGAAAGGACCCAGCCTGGGGAGGATCCTGAGTTCAAAGCCAGCCTCAGCAAAAGCGAGGTCCTAAGCAACTCAGTGAGACCCTGACTCTAATAAAATATTAAAAAGGGTCGGGGATGAGGCTCAGTGGTTAAATGTCTCTGGGTTCAATCCCTGGTACCAAAAAAGAAAAGAAAATACCCAGCCTGCAGCCAAGACAGGTACGTGTCTCGTGTCACCCTTTCTGTAAGCAGCAGGGCGTGGAAATATGTTTTCCTTTACCTGTGGAAGCTTTGGAAAGACAAAACACGGTTCCTGTAGGCATGAAGCTGGGACACAGAGACAGGGACTTGGGACAGGACTTTTCGCTGTAAACCTTTCCATATCTTTGTTGCTTTTTAAGCCAATGTGAATCTATTACCAATCCCAAATAAGCAAATAAAAACGAGTGCCTTTCATTTTTTTTCCCAATAAACTGCACTTGCGTGACCTCCTTCTGAGGCCATCTCTCTCCACAGCAGTCAGCTCCAGTTCCCTCCTAGGTCAAAGCCAACCCCCACTTCTGTAACTCACACCCTGGTCCTTGCCCATCCTGGGGCTCCGAGGGCCCCGCTGTATCTTATGTGTCCAGATTCAATATCCCCCATATTTTTGCTGCATCATCTGACATGGTTTCTGGGCTCTTCCGTCTCTGGCCACTGTCTTCCGGGCTGGTTAATGTCGGCAGCGTCTCAGTGCCGCCCAGAACAGAGGAGCTGGGCTCTCGCCACAGAGGACTAGCCCCTGCTTTGGCCGGGGAGTTCTTTCTTTCAATGTAACCTAAGGTGGGACAGACTCCCAGGGACATCCTATCAGAGGGTCAGCAACGACTGAATTCATGGTCCACTCAACCAGATCTCCCCCCCACACTTCCATTCCATCCCACACCCTCCCCTTCCTCCGAATGGATGCAGATCTTAATGCAAGATGGCTCTCCCCAAGTTTTCAGCCTCTCGCTTGTACTTCAGCCTGTCAAAGCTGGACTCTGGATTTTCAAAACTGGCCTCGGTCGGCACTGAGTCGCCAGCAGGCGGGACAGGTCCCCTCAGGTCCCCTGAGTGGTACGATGAACTGATACCGCCATTAGGAGAAAATGTGCCCCACTGTCTCTTTCAAATGCATTCCCCTGACCCAAATGAAAACTCCGCTCCCACGTTCTGGGTGATCCTTAGGGTCTGTTTTCTGTCTTTAGCTTTGCACACGCTGGACATTTCCATACACATGAAGTCATACCCTATGCTGACCTGTGTGTCTAGCTTATTCACTGGAGTTTCATTATGATGCATAGCATCTGTAAAGTCCCATGTTGTGACATGTATCAAGATTTCAGTTCTTACTTTATAGACAGAGATATGAAAAATCGTGCCCTATATGTGTAATAAGAATTGTAATGGTTTCCACTGCTGTCGAGTAGTTAAAAAAAAAAAAAAAAAAGATCTCATCAGTGATGGACACTTGGGTTGTCTCTGTCTGGGGACAGATGAATATCGCTATGGGCATTTAGCCTTTCGTGTGGACACATGTCTTCATTTCTCTTGGGTATGTCTCTAGGAGCGGGATTCCAGGGTCAGCTGTAACCCCAGCTTCTCCTGCGGGGCTCAGATTCTTTCCCCAAGCGTCTGCACTCTGACGCCCCCAGCTGAGGTGTCCCCAGGTTCCAGTTGCGCCACATCCTCCCCACCCCCTCTCACTGGCTGTCTTTTGGCCACAGCCCGCCTCGTGCCTGTGAAATGAGTCCTGCAGCAGACCCAAGCTCTCTCCAGTGCCATCTTTCCACAGTCTCCTCTTTCCTCTTGGTCCCTTCGGCCTGGCGGAGAGTGCTTGAGCTCTGAAACTGGTGCTTGAACGTCTCCTTGGCAAATTCTGTCTGTTCCCTCTGACTTTGGGATTTCACCTCTATTGGAGGGTCACTCGGGGCTGATCTCTCTTCTTCCCTGAGGCTTCCTCTAGTCACCAATAAACCCCCAACAGGAGGGAGGCAGCTCCCTGTGCCCAAGCCCCGCCCACTTGCCCATTGACCCCGCCCACTTGCCCATTGACCCCGCCCACTTGCCCATTGACCCGCCCACTTGCCCATTGACCCCGCCCCCTGGCTCACCGGCCACGCCCACTTGCTCCCCCAGGGCAGGTGGGGCCTCCCAGGTGGTAGCGAAGCAGAATATACAGCAGCCAGGACTCAGTTCTGGCTCAGTCACCAACCATCACGGGACCCCAAGAAAGCCACTCTCCCCCTGCGACCTTCTGTCGTCATATTTGCAAACCATCGGGGAAGGGTTGGTGGTGAAGAGTAACAATTTGAGCTCTAAAATAGGATTCAAAAGGAACAAAGATAAACGTGACCCTTGCTCCCAGAGGGTGACTGGGCTTATAAGAAAGCCTGGACACCGGTGTGGGCAGGAGAGGGGCTGTGGGGACGGGGCTGCAGGTACAAGGGCAGAGTGGGCCGCATGACGCCTGCTTCGGGGAGGAGCGGGGTCACAGTGGAGGATCCCGCCGCGCTCCTGGGCTGCCAGCACTCACGCTCTCACCCTGTCGGCTCTTGGTGCCATGATGTCGTGGCTCCAGGGGCTGAAAGGTGGCCAGGACTAGGCCTGTTGGCAACTGTGGCCGCTCCCTTCCCCTTTGCCCATCTTGTTGTTTTTTGGGTCTCAGCTCTGGGGTGGCCAGTGTAGGTGGGGATCAGAAGGGAGAGGTGCTGAGCAGGGCTGGGCTGAGCCTGCAGAAGGGACTGGACAAAAACAGAATCAACTCCCCGGCGACTTTCCGCGCCTCTGGGCTCCGTCAGGCACACCAGGCTGCCTACCCAGCTGAGGACCAGGTTTTACAATCCGGAATTGGCTGTCAATGTGTCCTGGTCTGGAGGTACCACCTGGTGATGGCCTGGGCTGTGGGAACCCAGGGAGTGTGCGTGTGTGTGTGTGTGTGGGGTAAGGTTCCTGCCCTTCCTCCCAGACACCTGAATCCTCACCCTGTCATCTGTGAGAGAGAGTAGTGACTCCAGGAAGTCCCTGAAGAAGTGTCAATCGTCACCCTCCAAGCTATGCATCTGCTCAACAGCTGGGGAGAAATATGGGGACCCCAACCATGTCCAGACCAGCAAGTGGGGGTCACAAACACACCACGGAGGGAGACTCAGAAGGAGCTGGTGTTTATTGTGCAACTACTATGTGCCGGCCAGTGCAGAACACACTTCTATTCCATCTTTCTTAATCCTCACAGCAATTCTGAAGAAAGAGAAAATTCACATCATTGCTCATGGAGGGGAAGTTGGACTGAGAACAGAATGCTTTGGCCAAGTCTCCCAGCAAGCCCGGGGCTGAGCTCACTGTGGAACTTGTGGTCTTTCTCCTATGCCCTGCGGGTCCACAAGTCCACCCCAGATGAGCACAGAAGCCCATGTCTTCGACGGGGCTCTGCTAGGAGCCGGTCCTTGCCACGAGGACTCATTTGCAGGTGATTCATGAAGGAAATACTCACTTCAGAATCCAGCAAGACCGCGGGTGAGGCAGGGTGGGCCCAAAGAAGGAAGCCTTCGGGGGGTGGGGGGGGGCGTCCAGGCAAGGCCCTGGCTGCAGCCAAGGCTCCTGGGGAGTCCAGGTAGTCATCAGCAACTTAAGAAGGACAAGGAGTTTCTTGAGACCAGCCTCATTTAAGGAGGCTCATCCCTCTCCACCCAGTGGCTCCTGCTTGGGGCCCAGGCTGCTGGTCCTTTACTGCCACCTGGGGGCCTGCGGGGGGGGGCAAGGAATGCAAAATCTCGGCTGCTTCCAGCCCTCCCTGTCATGAGGTGGCTCCTACAGCCCAGGAGAAACTGCTGGGATGGGTCCTGGGGCCAGCGGTCAGCCACAGAGCTCCGGAGGTGGGGAGGAGCACACAGAGCCGTTAAAGGGGTCAGAGGAGATCTCCGCGGGGCCCAGCAGAGCCCACCGATCTCCCCTGGAGGGGCAGAAGGAGCACTGAGCTGTGAGTCCAGAGGTGCCTGGTCAGACCCTGGGTCCTGCCATTGATTTTCTCTGTGCAATCCAAGGGCTCCGCGTCCCCTTTGAAATGGGGGATTGGACTAGATTCCTTGGTTCCTTCATTCAGTGACCAGCCCTGTGCACTTAGAGTATCCCAGGTATCCTCCCGGGGCTGGGGAGACTTCAAAGAACAAAAGAGACAAGGATCTCTGCCTCACAGAGCTCACCATTTTAGTAAGAAAAGCTGATAGAGACTAAAGAAATAATTAAGTTATCTATTAAATCGTTTGAATGCCTTAAAAAGCAATACAGAAGAAGAGGGACTGGGAAAAGCTGGATTGGGGCCAAGTTTACAATTTTAAATAGGATTCCTAGAGCGTGACATTGAAGGAGGTGAGTGAGCTCTGTAGATACCGGGGTGGGGCCGGGAGAGCTTGCCAGGGGGAACAGAGAGTGCAAAGGCCCTGTGGTTGGAGATCACCCTTGTGTTGGAGGCCAGGACAGCTGAAATGGAGAGAACCAGGAGAGGTAGGGAAGGGCCAGGTTGCACCGAGCTGGCAGCCTCGTAGGGGGGCTTGCACATTTACCTGGGGTGAAATGAGCACGCTTCCAGCAGAGGAGAGAGATGATCTAACCAGGTTTTCAAAGAGTCTCTGGAGCCGCGGTGTTGAGAACTGGCCGCGGGAGCACTGGGGAAGACCCCCCCCCCACCCTCTTCTAACCACCTGGGGAACACACGCCCAGACTCCACCCCTCTCCCCAGCTCTTTAGAAGAAGCACCCCCAAGTTCCTACCCACCTTCCTGGAGTGGGGTAGTGATGACAGTGCCCGATTCCAATACTCGGTCCCCACCTGCACATCCAAAGTAGGCTTGGGCAGGTTTACCCTCGGCCCAGGCTCAAGTCTCAAGCAAACTGGGCCACACGGGCGCCCACAGCTGACCCTGCTGCTGTCCCGAGCCTCGGGCTCCAGGGAGCTTCCCTGTCTGCTCTGCCCCTCCCCCTCCCTCTAAGCTGCCCCAGCCTCTATTACTGCCCTGTCCATCACTGGAAGGAGCTGGACACACACCTGTAATTCCAGCAGCTTGGGAGGCTGAGGCAGGAGGATCTCAAGTTCAAAGCCAGCCTCAGCAACAGCGAGGCCCTAAACAGCTCAGTGAGGCCCCGTCTCTAAAAAAAAACACAAATAGGGCTGGGCATGGGGCTCAGTGGTCGAGTGCCCCTGAGTTCAATCCCCAGTACTGACGACTCCCCCCAAAAAAGAACTGTAAGGTTTCTTAGAGGGGCTCTGCCAGGTCTCTCCTCTTTACATATGGGGAAACTGAGGCCCAGAGAAAATCAGCAGCTTAACAAGGCCAAGGAGTTTCTTGAGACCAGCCTCGTTTAGGGAGGCCCACCCCTCCCCATCCAGCGGTTCCCGCTGCACTGAGCACCTGTCCTACTCCCGTTTATAGGAACACGGAGCCGGGGACCCCGTGACTCTGCTGTAAGTCCCCTCATCCTCAGGGCCTCAGTTTCCTTAGCTCTAAAATGGACTTTAAAAATCTCCTTCTAATTGGAAACGAAACCAGTTAACACCTGAGAACATACAGACTGTAAGCCCGCCCAGACCCGGATCTCAGCAGCTGCCAACGAATGAGACGAAAGTGAAAAATCCTTCAAAGCGCACCTACCAAACTGCTCAAGGGAAATTATCTCAGCCCAAGTCCAGGTCGCCTGGAGGGGGGGGGGCAGGAACATGGGCTCCTCGATTCCGCAGCTCTGCTGTCTGGGTGAGCGGGTGGAGCTCAGTCCAGCAGCCACTGGCAGAGAGAACGAGTCACACCCTTCAACCTGGTCGGTTCTCGAACATTTGCAAATCAATCTCAATGAAATCGCAAATGGAGAAAATCAATTTGCACTAATATGGTTATCTGGGATGCACAATAAAAATTAGAAAAGATCCAAAGCGGTCATTCAGTCATTCCACTCACAGATGCAGGACTAGCCTCCCATTCGATAGCAGGAGCCACTCCCTGGATGCATCGTTCTGCCTTACCAAGAACCTCAGCAGGTTACATGGTGGCCACAGATAGATATTCCAGGTCCCAGCATCCCTTGCAATAGGTGTGGCCTTGTGACCAAGTTTGAGCCCATGGACTATAAACAGAAAAGTCCTATGTGACAGAACAATTCATAGGTAACACACATTATATATATAGAGAGAGTATGCCCCTCCTGGTCCCCTCCTTCTTTCAGCTAACTGGAATGCAAATGTCGTAGTTTGAGTTTCAGCAGCCGTCCTGGGCCATTGTGGGGAAGCTACCCGTGGAGATTGGCAGAGTGACACACAAGAAGAAGCCTGAGTTTCCTTGTTCTCGTGGGATCATTGCTTTGGCTCCAGATGGCCTAGTAACCTGGGGTGTTGATGTCATTGTTAATTTGAGTTTTCTGCTATCAATAGTTATATCCAAGTCTAAGTGATACATACAGGGAGAAAATGTTCAGCAGAAAACATAAACGTGTTTTCTTAATCTTCATGGATTACAGTTAGGTCAGCTATATGCTGGGAGAACAGTTGTGGCCAGGTGGAGAATCATCGGTGACACAGGGATGCCATCGATTGGATTTTCCCCAGTAAATCAGTTTAGGAGCTGAATCAGTCAGTACAAGGTATGTTGTGCTGAGGTGACAAGTAACTCCTTAATCTCAGGGGTCTAAAACAACTCCACTCTTGCTCACTCTTCGTGTTCACTGTGAGTGGGCAGGAAGGAGGTCATCCTAGTCAACGGGCTATCAGGAGGACAGAGAAGCTAGGTGAGAGGGAAGAGACTGGATCAGGAGCTAAAAGCTCTCGCCTGGAATGAACTCTTTTTCTGCTGGCAGCTCCCTGCTGACCCAGCTCTAGGACACCCTGCCCACGTGGAGGAGGACAGGTGCCATCCTCCCACTGCCCCAGAAGGGGAAACTTGGCTTCACCTGCACTAAAGACAACCACAGATGCAGATGAACAGAATTGAATAGCATAAACATCTGTGAAATGATGTTTAGAAGTTGTCTTTCTGGGGAAGGGGGAATCCTGCTGTGTGTGGTGGTGCACACCTGTAATCGCACTACCCTGGAGGCTGAGGCAGGAGGATTACAAGTTTGAGGCCAGCCTCAGGAACTTAGTGAGACCTTTGTCTCAAAATAAAATACAAAGAAGGGTTGGGGATGTGCCTCAGTGCTCAAGAACCCTGGGTTCCATCCCTGAGCCTTTGGGAAGCTCCTGATTGGACAGAACCAGAGAGAGCCCCGCCCCCCACTCCCAGACAAGGCAGAATCTGAGGGGGTTAGTGTGGGCACCAGGGGATAAATGTAGGGAACAGGATGGGAGCTCCCTTGCCTGTGCCCTGAGAAAGGGAGTTGGGGGTGGGGACAGCCCAGGGCTGGCTGCTCTAAGCCCGTATTAAAGACCCTCCTGGCCAGGCGCCGTGGCCCACCCCTGTAATTTCAGTGGCTTGGGAGGCTGAGGCCAGAGGATCCTAGGTTCAAAGGGCTGGGGCTGGGGCTCCGTGGTTAAGCACCCCTAGGTTCAATTTTTGGTGCCTTTAAAAAAAGACCCTCTGTACCCTCCAGCAGGGCCTCAGGGACAGAGTCCACCTTGGTGCAGGCCTGGGTCAGCCACTCCCAGCCCACCCCACCCCCAGGGCACCCCAGAGCCTGGCTAGGAGGCTGCACTCTGGCTGGAGGGGCACACCTTAGCGGCTTCCCATGGGACATGTGGCCACTCACTCTGCTCTGCTGCAGCCCGGGATGGTGGTGGGGACTTAACTCAGGCTTCCTGAGCTCTGGTTCCACTCATCCTAGATCCTCCGTGCTCAGCACTGTCCAGAGTCCCCCATTGCTCAGAGCGGACAGCCTGGCACAAGGGGATCATGCAGTTACCTAGGGCCAAGGTCCAGACACAGCCTAGGCCTCCAGATGAGCAAACCGGCCTCTGGGGCTTCATAAACGTGTTGGAACCAGAGCGGGGGGCACTCGCCGGCGCTCTGCAGTCCGTGGCTCATCCCAGTGGCTGGTGGTCCCCCCCTCCCGTGTCCACTGAGTCTGAATCTGCTGTCTCTACTCCTCCAGGAGCTGCTGACCAGAGTGGGGGTCTCCACGGCGGGAGGGCATTGCATCAGAACCCCACCCCCCCACACCCCCCGTGCCCAAAGGCTCCTCCCAGGAAGTGGATATCACCCATCTGCTGGCCGCCCCACATCCAGACTCCTGACCTCTGAGCAGAATCTCCTGTATGTGACTCTGGCCAGGAGCACAGTGCCAGCCCGGCCGGAGAGCAGAGGGGTGCAGACGGGCCCCTTCCCTGACCTCGCAGCTGGGCCCGGGCACACAGGCCCTCTCGGCCAGCACGGTGCTTTTGCCCGGGATTTCTCTCTTACACTAACGTGGTAAAGTTGACAACTTCCTGGTCACAGGTTTATGTCACCACTACCACAGTCAGTGTTTTAGTGAGCTTTGTATCCCTGTGACCAAAAGCCCTGACAACAGTGAGAACTCAGAAGAGGGAAAGTTGATCGTGTTCCCAGTTTCAGAGGTTCAGTCCACGTTGCCCTAGGTCAGGCCCGAGGTCAGGAGAGCATCCTGGTGGAAGGAAGGGTGTGGGAGGAAAGCTGCTCCGCTCAGGAGCCCAGGAAGGAGGGAGGGAGGGAGGGAGGGAGGGAGGGAGAGAACACAAGCCTCATTCACCAGGGGAAACCAACCCCGAGGGCAGGACCCAGGCCCCCCCACCCCCACAGCGGTCCTTTGGAATTATTACCCACCTAGTGGATTAAAGGTCAGATCAGGTCACAGCTGTCATGGTCTAATCCGTCACCTCTGCAGGTCGCTGCCTGGTGTCACACAGCCGCCCTCAGGGACACCTCATAGTTAAGGACAGTGAAGCATTTTGTCACCCCAGGTCCCCCTTCACTATCCCTTTCTTTGCCCAGGATCCTGATCTGCAGGGACAATACAGAGAAGTGGGGACTGACCCATCCTTCACACTGGATGGTGCCCAGAGCTGGCGGGGTCAGCGTGCCCTAGCTGGGCCCCCTGGGCGTCCCTCCTTGCTGCCTTCTGGCCACTTCCCCAGCCTGCTTCTTGGCCTTCAGGTCCATTCCAGGCCATTAGGACGCCGTCCCCGCCCTGCCCCACGGTCCCCTCTTCCTGGAGCTGGGCACTGCTTTCCTGTTGGTCTTCGTTTTTGTGGGTTTCGTCTTTACATTCCCGAGCCCTGAACCCGGATGCACCAGGTGGGCAGGGGCTAAGGGCGGGAAATGGACGTGAGCAAGGCCAGGCTGGGGAGAAAGGGAGCTGGGGGACATCCTGGGAAGGACAGACCTGCCTCTGGGTCATTCTCTAGGGATTGTCCCCTTGGCCGTCATTTGAGGGGTCATTTGAAGAGGGTGCTGTCAGAACTAGGGCTTGCCCAGCCCCCCACAGCAACTCCATACCCCCCCACCCCCCACCCCCACCCCGGTCTGGGTCTCCGTGGTCCCCACGAGGCCAGGGACCGCACCAGCTGCCTGGATCCCCCCTGGGAGCATCTGGGGGAGGGGTTATTCTCAACGTGGCCCCCCGCAGGCTGGAGCTGGGGGCCTTGTGGGGACGGCAGGCGGGGGCGGCTGCCCAGCTCCTCCTTCCTCCAGGTTGGCGGGGAAGGTTTCCATGGAAACAGCAGCTCAAGCATCTCCAGAGATTTGGGGAAAAACTGACTCTAAAAAATCACCATCTTCGTTTGGGGGGTGGGGAGGGACAAGGTAGCTTGGAGGAGAGAGGAGAGGAGCCCCCCGGGACAGGGTCCTGGGCAGAGGCCCCCAGCCCTCCCCTACCAGCTCCCCACACCCACCTTGTGCTCTGTCTGCCCTCCTGCCCCAGAAAGAGGTCTGCCGTGCTGTCCCCAGTGCTGTCCCCGCACACCACAGAAGGCCCTCCCCTCCCCCTCC